GTGCTTTTATCCTCCCAGACGAGTCTCTACCAATTAACCGACCTCGGAGGGATGGATGGCATGTTGGCCTAGGCGGGTATCAATTCGGGATTCGATCCCTTGACCGTACGTGTGATATAGTGCCAGACTTATAATGGCCATGCACACACAACCTTCTTATATAAGCGAACAATCTAATAACTTCGAAGACTGCATACTAAATCCGACTATTCTGGACAGAATACACCTATGTGTACCATTGTGAGGTAGGGTGAGGGGCAAAAAGCTGGTACCTTTCCAATCCAGTTATGTACAATAACCCATTTCTACGCGTCGAAGGCTGGAGTAGTGTTCACAGTTTGCGATTTGAGTTGCTTGCTTTCAATGATTGTTGAGGACTCATTATGGTTCATTTCCAAACATACCGAATTGGCTATCACCTGTTTTACTGTTTACATCTTTAGTAAGCAAACAAAGGATGGAAATAGTTGTGGAATAATAGGAAGGTTTTAGTACTACATTTCATCTGACAGAAAAAAACAGTGTAGGCCCTTTCAACGGAAAAAGGTTCAGAAAGTACAATGAAGCTCTAGATCCCTTAAAGCAAAATACACTGTCTTTAATTTACTCAGAGTTACATATTTAGACAATTACTACTTAGCCATCTTGTCCTCCTTGTCATTAGTGCATCTCCCATGGATTAGCGATAATGCTATATCCGTTCAGATGGCGAATAAGAAGTTTGTCCCATGTAAAACTCATTCTGGGGCTATCATGACTCTTCCCATCATACGGGCGCTTCACATTCTGTATTCAGCCAGTCAGCAATCTTTTTTACTATGCTGATGATCTTATCCATTGCGTAACAAAGGTCGTATTCCTAAATGTTTATGCCAACTCCTCAACGACAAAGCAAGTTGTTTTTTAAGGTTTTAAGCAGTTTATGAGTGAGTGGCCCATGATAAGGAGCAGTGTTGGTCTGAAAGAATGTTGATTTCTGTAATTCAAGATGTGTTTGAATTCAATAGTATAAAAATCGCACGTATAAATCGCACGTTGCACATGTGCTAAGTGGCCTTTTACCGATTTTGTTTTGTTTTTGATGTGTCACCTTCTGAGCCCCTTCTTAGTACGATGCACCTTGAGTTTACGCGGTATGGTTAGGTTTTTGCTAAGCGCAATTTAATATTGAGTTGTTGAATAAACAGCATCAAGCCACCATTGCTGAGTCTCAGCTCTGAGTAAATCCAGTGGATTTTCCACGTTCACTTGTACTCGTTGTTCGAGTAACTTTGAACGGTATCCATGAAT